GGCAGGCTCGCGATCGATCCTTGGACGACATACGAGACGCTGTGGAGATGCTGCGGTAAACTCACCGAGGGAGACAGGGACCAGGGCCCACCCGATTGGCCGGTGCTATGAGGGCAAGCATACGGTGTGTACTCTAATCTTTCCTCATGTTTCTTCATGACGTCCTCACGGGCTCCTGCCGCAGACTGACATAAAGCGAGCCCGCTTCCGTGCTGACTCGACTCACCAAGACGACAAGTTCACCTCGTGCATCCGACTCAATGGCCACGGTGTCCGCAACCAGCTCCCGTGCACGAACCTGCGCAAGCGGAAGCGCACTGTGAATTTCCGGATACATCCGCATCTGCGTCCGTCATCTCCACAAGCTGCACTGGTTTGGGCTTCAGCGGGCGGCCCCTGCTTTTGGGAGCAGGAGCTCCGGCGTTGGCTTGAGAGACGGGTGCGACGGAGGCCCTGGACTTCTTGCGAGCAGCGGGGGTGCATCCACGTGCGCTGATGCTGAGACTGACGTTCTCGGTCTCCTCGTGCTCACGTTGGTCCACACCCATATGCTCGGCCTCTGTAGCAGTGGCCTTCGCCTTGCCCTTGCCCTTGCCCGCCGCCTTTCCTTTGCTCTTCGCGCGTCATGCGATTTCCTCCATCCCGCTGTCCGGCTTGCCCTCGCTCGCGTCTTCGTCGATACCGGGCTCCCAGTGCGTCAGCGCAAGTGAAGCGGCCCGGGCGGAAGCCGAAAAGCAAGATGTATGTGGAGGAGTCGGATGAGACGCAGGATGTGGACATGGATGGGGAGCAGGGTCCGAGAAATGCACTCGCAGAGTCGGACACGTCAGGCGACCATCGGTGTGCAAGCGGGAAAATCCAAGTCACCCATGAAGAAGGGGAAGGAGAAGAAGGTATGGTGCCGAAGAAGAAGAGGAGATTCTCTACGTAGAATCAACACTACGCTGGTATGCTCAAGACACCGAAAACGCTGTCTGGTCTCTCTGGTTGATCTTCATCTGGGCAAACTACCATCATAACAGATGAAGAGAAGGAGCGTGCACATGAGCTGCGAGACAATTTCCTCGAGGCGAAAGATCTGCGTATGGACAACTTCTTGAACGACGCGGAGAAGAACATCAAGATATTCTTGTCATCTCATTTCCGCGACGAAGGCCTTATATGGTACGTGACTATATGCATAACCAGCCTTTCAACACTTATCACTGGCGAGCAGGTCTGAGCAGCGCGTACGCGAGAAACCCATCCTCATCGGCTTTTTCCTCGAGTTCCTGCTTCGAAACCGTGTTTTCCCGGAATCTGAACAGGAAAAAGGCCTCCGACGTGCTCTGCAAGTGATACACCTGGCTCGCAAGGAGCTTCCGGCCACGTTCATTATCGGCAAAGCCTTGCCCGATAGCCTCGGCGTAGGCTGCGAAAACTATTTGGAAGTATGGCGGAGATCGCGTGTATCAACATTGACTTCGGGGACAATACACAGGCAGATGTCACTGAGGACCAAGAGGATAAAGGCGAGCCCGAGGCCAAGAGATGCAAAGTCAAGGAGAAGGAGGAAGATCTTGCATTTGAGGAGGCCATCGGCGAGGTAGACACAGAAGTCATCACTCCCGAAGTCGTCGAGAGCCTCGGAAAGGCCGTGCAGCAAGAACGCGAGGCAGCCGATGCCGACGTGGGTGGAACGGGTGTCTTGGCCTGAGGCAACGCCTTCGCTGACAGCGGCTGGGACACGGGAGGATGGGGTGCTGGAAACGCGAGCTCAGAGCCTCACGACCCCTGGGCGCAGCCGGGGAGCACCTGGGATGAAAAAACCACTAACGAGCCGAACCTAATTATGGCCTTCCTCGGTCCGACCATCTTCCTGCTCACGCCTATAACGGGTGTAGCAGAGGCTCCACACGGCGCATCCTATCACTCATTCCTGTACAAGCCGCATCTACCGCTCCTGGCAAGGCAGCAAGGAAGAACCAGAGCGGGACCAAGATGGACGTCGAGAGCGGTGCGACGCCACACGACCCGTTCAAGGACGAGATCACAGTGCTGTTCGAGCCGGCGGTGGCGGAGAAGCTCATCATCGGCATGGGCCTTGCCGGGACATGGGTGCAGCTCGCTCGTCAAGACCTCAGCGCTGGATCCTGGACGGATGAACACGCTGGTGGGAAGCAGCAAAGAGACGAGAAAGGTGAGTTTGGGGTGCCCACCAAATTGTGGTACATGGAGCACCTGGCCTCCATCATTCCGAGCTACCACACCGAGCCATGATCCTGTTACTTTGTTCAGCTGTTGTAAACTGTCTCTGCTGTTGATGACGCCTCGCGCTGTCGTGCTCTGTTTCTGATCATTGAAATGTACTAATACTGCTGTATATGGACAGTGCGATCACTTACTGATGGGCTCCTTTGGATGGAAGTCAACCGCAGTTAAAGTCCTTCACAGATACACGCGCCATGCATCATCACGGTGAGTCGCGATTTGCGTTGTGCATCATGCCACTTCATCATTGGCGATGCAATCTGTGCAGTGGCGACACGAACGCAATTTGCACTCCTGTTCGTTCCCGAAAATTCAAGAAAATCGTGAATAATATGTGAAATCTAAATCTAATCACCTCAGGTTTCTGTTTTGTACGTAAGGAGATACTTCCGCCTCGCGGAGGGGCCGCGAACTCGTCCTCCACTCGTCGTAATGTGCATGCCTCATCCGTCGTGAGTTGCTGGGTTGCTGGGTCTCAACGTATTCATAGGACTGGGAAGGCTCGGGTACAGAATTCATTTGGCGTTGCCGTGTGCATTCACAATGGCACTATCTTTAATGCATCGGGGCAGGCAGGCAGGGGGGAGTACATGCATACCCGTTAGTAGTAACAACTGCTGTTAGACTGTATTTTTTCATCCTTTCCGAGCGTACTCATCTGCCTGGCCTACAGGACAGTGACAGTAGATCGTCGTATGTTATTACTAGCTTATCCAATGCCCTACTGCTCGGACATTGAACAATCTCTCATTTTTCTCATGATCACGTCCACCGTCTGCCGTCGGGCGATCTTACCCATGCTCAACGATACTTAGGACAAACATAAGCACGGCAATGATGGCATGTGTTGCCGACGGGCCGAAGGGTCAAAAATCCAGTAGGAAGCGCGGGCTGCCGGATCATCCACTGTCAAAATTGTCAATGCCTATTGCTGCAATCTCAAAAACCTACCCAGCAATGGACCGATGGCTTGGCCCTATTGACCTAATGAGCGAAAGTGGCCTAAGGTTTTGCCCTTGCCCAGCTCCGGGTGCTCCTCGATGGGCTTGCCGGTGTATTGGAGGGAGGCGTATAACATGAAAGAATTGACGACTTGACGACGGTCGTTGATGTGAACGCCATGCAGACCACGGTGCCTTGCAGGAGCCTCACCGCTACCGTGATATGATCCGAGACAGTGGGACGAGCGTGAGAAGGACGAAGCCGAGCGAGCAGCTCAAGATTCCACGGCGAGCCATGGTGCCTTCGCCGACTTCAGGGATCGTGCGGTGAACGTATCCGCCCATGCAGGAGCGCACTGATGGTGCCGATGGTGCCGATGAGTGCACCATTATGTCTGGTGTTCCAATCGAACACTGCGATGCGCAGTCAGCGTATGATGTATCGTCCCCTTTCCCTGACCATTGATGTTGTGGCAAGAACTTATGGCCGAATGTGAGAAAAACCAGTGCGAACTCCATCTGGAGAAGACTCCCAGGTATAGGAAATGGAGTCGCCGCAGCATTTAAGAACGCTGATGCGCTGCTCGACACTGGCTTCAAAAGCAGCAGTTGATGCTTCATGTTTACTCTTCTCCGCCATCTTCCCGGTTTGAGGCGCACTAGCAGGCATCGGCACCTAAATTCTCTAGATCTTGCCTCGAGTCTTTGGCAGTGCCACAGCTTGAAATATCGTCTCGAAAATTAAGAGGGTGGGAGGAGAGGCTCAAGGCTGCTTACGTTCACTGACGTCGGCATTTCTCTTTCGATGGTTGGTCTTTTACTTGAATAGCAATGCTATTGGATATACTTGTAGACAGAACACGCTGTAAGCTGTATGCATTGGTACGAATACAAACTACCCGGAAGGTGAAGTGTTAACTTATGATCAAAACCCGGATCGGCAAGAAACAAAATAATGATGATCACACCGAAGGCTGGCCTCAATGTGCAGATTCCCGGATATACGGCGTCATGAGAAGAGGACATTTGCTACCCTCCAAATGCTTGCCCACCACATACAGCCTTGTCAGCACACTGCGTTTACAGATTTGAGCCGGTGGTCGTGTAAGTCTAGGAGAAGATTACATACACGTTGGCCTTGCCGACTTGCTCGTCGCTCTCAGCGAACGTGAAGCTTGTAAGGAGGATGAAGAGGAATGTCTTCATCTCGATAACGGAAAAGTGCATTCCTATGCACGACTAACGTCAAGTCAGTGACTTGTTCACTAGGCGATAATATCATGAAAACAGCACTTACTCTTGGCCCAGCCGAGAACGTGAGGGTGTTGTTATACAAACCAGGCTGTGACTTCATGGCTTCGGGAAGATTATCCCAACGGTCCGGGCTTGTCCGAAAGTCAGTACTGGCGAACTGGAAGATCGAGCGGTCCACATACTTAAACGCCCAACCGTCAGTTTCCCACACCTCCCTATCTAGATTGAATCCCTCCATGGGTACATGTATGAGCGCCCCCTTCGGCACTCTAATGCTCATCACCTCCTGCACGCTCCCATCTGGCATCCGCGTGCGCACAGGCACACTCGTCGGCAGCACATCATCCCGCGTCGCTACGCGGATCGACGAGTGCACGGGCGGGATAAGGCGCAGTGTCTCACGCATGACGTTCTCGAGGTACGGCATCTCCGCGACGGCGTCCTATAGCGAGGCGACTTCGTCCGGCGTGAGCGTGGAGAGCGGCATGAGTGGAGCGATGGTAAGGAGCTCGCGGCGAAGGCGGGTCTGGATGGCGGGGTACTTGGCAAGGAGATGGAGCATCCAGGTGATCGCGAGTGAGCTTGTGTTGGAGCTGGTGAACATGAAGGTGTTGATGTTGTGGAGAATATCTTCGTCGGATATGCGTTGTTCCGGAGGAAGATCTGCTGCACCGTTCGAGTTGACTGTAAGAATGTATGAGTGAGAAGAAGGGAAAGAAGAGAACCCAAGGCATACAGAGCAGCGTGAGCAGGTCCTTGCCCTGATAAATGCTTCCGCTCCGTTCAGCCTCCGCTGTTTTATGCTTTTTCTCTTGTACAAGCTGACCAGCGACGTGACGGATCACTTCCTGACATCTCCGCACAGTCAACGCGGCTTTATCCGGCTGAACCAGCAGGTCAGATGAGAGACGCAGTGAAATGATGCATATACAAAAAGAGTATTGATGATTGGGAAGTGAAGGGCCACTAGACTGCGGAGAGAACCCTCTTGTTGCGAAACGCCGATCTCGAACATCTCTTCGTACGCACTGAAGAGCTCGTTTGTCTCGTCCTGAATGGCGTTGAATTGGTAGTCGAAGCCTGCATTAGATTTAATTTTGAATGTGAGCAGGTAAAAGTCATAGACATCCGCAACCTACCCGCTGATCCTATGACATCAAAGGTAGCCCGGCTCACCCAGTGACACACATCAAGCTTTGCACCGTTCATCGCCTTCTCACTTGTATCGTGGCTCTATGACTGTGCGATGAGTGCTCCATCGTTCCTTCAACTCATTCCCCTTCACGAATACAAGCAGGACCAAGGCACGCATGTTCTGCACAGAGAACGCCGGGATGGCCACTCGACGTTGTCGCTTATGCACCTGACCTTCTACTGCAAGCATACCGCATCCAGTGAGGCCGATAATAAGCCAGCGGGAGTGCCATGGTTTCTCATACACGTGCGAGTTTTCATAACGTGCGAGAGGGTAACGGGGTCAAGAGTGAAAAGGCGTTGATCTCACTGCAAATTGAAGCACGATGAGGGTAGGATGGGTTCTCATGCAGAGAGTGAACGCACAGGCAAGATGCCTCGAATCATCACATTTCGTCCGTACTGTTTCACGAATGCCTCCTGGACTTGAGGTGAGATGGACGCTGTAGACACACTCAACTCGTCAATGTCTAGAAGAGAAAGCACGGTACAATGCACCCGTTTCAAGCTTACTCCGTAACAAGACCTAGTTGGTCCTTGAATAGCCCTCTTGCTAGGCGGGCCAGGCAGGTTTCTAAGCGGATTGAACCATGGCTCGACAAAGGCTAGGTAGATGAAGAAGATGGAGAGTGTTGTCAGAACGGCACGAAGAATGCTGACAGACAACGTAGACAGCTTGTACTCCATCGTCAGAGGAGAGCTTAGAGCGAAAGCAGCCTTCAGCTCCCACTCTTAAATATGTGATTCCGAGAACAATAACAATAAGGGAGTTTCATTGATCTCGGGCTATCTCGGGCATCCAGGTTGACCTTGCTCTGTCTAGACAAGCATATCGTAGACATAGAATTCATTAGACGGAAACTGCACAAAAGACCTGCGTGACAACATGTCGCCGGCGTCCTGACCAAGTCAAAAAAGTCCTTCACGGAGTCGTCCACAACTAGAGCTGCGCGCTTGAGAAATGGCACCGTAAGCGCCCGCCTCTGGTATAAGCGCCCGCCTACAGGCGCAGATCTAGAACGCGTCTGGAATGCGTGCTATCCACGTAGCACCGCGTCATCACCACGTGACCGAGATTCACGATTTCAGCGGAAGGCCTAGAGTCGCAAAGCTCGCATACCATCTCTCCCATCGACCACCATGTTCTTCGCTATTTCTGCGTCTGGCGACTCCAGCGATGTCTCTACATTTACCTGCGGATCAGTTGCATCTATCGGGATCTGAATCGGACCGCACACAATCTTCTGAGGATGAAGAGGAAGAGACCTGGGAAGACCGGGTCTCTGATTCCATGGATAATCGACCGTGCAAGTCACTTTTTGACAACGAGAAGACATTTACGTCCGTTCCAGAAGCTGTGAACCACGACAAGCTCGTTCACGGAGTGGATTTGAATGCGATTTGCTCTCGGCTGGGTGGGTCTAATTCCCGCGTTCGTGTGTATCCTGCGTAGACAGGTTCTTCCTGCTTCCGTTTTGCCCGTACTGCTTCCCACCAACTTTTTGGCCCGTGATGTTACCTCATGACTATATCGTGCCCGTTGTAGAACTCGTACGCAACGGAGATGAATGGACTTGTCAAAAATTGTCTCGCAGACAAGCATGCCTCAGCTCGGACGTTGTCCAGATGCTCACGATGGTGGGACCGTGATGTGAGCACCCAATATTAACTGGATTGACACGACGTTCTGCATGCTGCCACATCTCCACATGAGGAGGGTGTTCTCTTTGTGCGACGGACATTGCAATTTGATTGCCGAATGATGGATATGCTCAGTATATGTCTCTTTTTTCATTGGCACCACCGATACGTTAGGCTTAGTGCTTTTTGCCTAAAGGACACATACGCGGTTACGGCTGCGGTCTACAGCACCCGTAACTCATGGCCGGGACTGTTCTGACCACGAACGAGAATTTCCAGTCCGGGGGCTTGTTCGGTCGGTCGTGTATTCATCTATGTTCAGTGAGAATGCGCTCTATATCAAGATCAGTGCTCATCTATCCCTTCTAGCTCTTGATCCGTATCAGCGAATCCGTTTGGTCAACTGGATAAGAAAGGAGGTGTGTCCCCAGATGCTCGCGATTGATAACGGACCACTGACTTTCACTCAGAAACCCGCGCCGTCTGAGGTCCTCGCATTGAAAGGAGACGAATCGTTCTTCTCATCAGATGAGTACCTCCCTCCTGTGTTGGAGGATGACCCATTGCTGCGTGAGTTCTCGAAGGTCTGCAATGACCTGCAATCGATGACGATGGAATACTATTGCAGAGACACAGTCTGCGGCATGGTCGGATTACGAGGATGAGCAATCCCCACCCACCGACCTGGCAACCGCTATACGTCGTATCCATATTCTCGAGAAGAAAGTGCAGCAGGCGAAGCAGGACTTGGCAGAGTATCGCACCTTCGTCGGCGAGTGACTGAGCCAGTCTGCATTTGGCGAAGTCCTAACAGACCCTGTTGCATCATCTTCAACCACTCATCTTGGAAGGCCCCTGCGTGACGATGACTCCCACTACTTCCAAAGCTACGGCGAGAATGGTACGAGGTCGTCCTGGTCTATCTCACATCTTGTTCACGTTCTGATCCTTCTCATACGCATACACTCCATCATGATTCAGGACAAAGTGTGCACAGCGACGTACGCAAAGTTCATTATGTCCAGCACCGAGCTTTTCCGCGACGCGATTGTTCTCGATGTCGGCTGTGGAACTGGCATCTTATCCCTCTTTGCTGCACGAGCAGGCGCAAGACGCGTGTTTGCTGTTGATGCAAGTGACATTGCGGACAAGGCACGACAGATTGTCAAGGACAACAAGCTGGACGATGTCATCACGTCAGTGTCACTATCTGCACGCTATCGTGGGACGCTCATCATATCTTTGCTCTTCACATCTTCAGGGTTATCCGCGACAAGATTGAAGACATTAAATTGCCTGATGACGTCGAGCATGTCGATGTGATCATCTCTGAGTGGATGGGATACGCATTACTCTATGAATTCATGTTAGATTCGGTGCTACGTGCGAGAGACAGGTTCTTGGACCCAGAGCAGGGTGTTATGGCCCCTAGCCAATGTAGGATGACGCTTGGTCTTTGCGAGGCTAGTGAGGTCTTCAAGGAACGCGTTGGCTTCTGGAGTGACATCTATGGTATGTAAGATTACCACCGGCGAGCCGGGTCAGCTCATAATGCTCGCACAGGTTTCGATCTATCGGCAATGGGGAATGACGTCTATGAGGATGCAACAGTCGACGTTGTCGGACCTGAAACTATGCTCAGCGAACCTTGCATGATAAAAGTCAGTCGGGCTAGATGCTGTCAGTGAAAGTGAGTCTGATCTCACTGTCTTGCCGCAGGATCTCTACCTCCCGAACATCAACCCGAAACAGCTCGACTTCTCCGTACCTTTCAAGCTAGTCTCTATTGCCGACCGGTGCACGAAGGTACATGCTCTCCTAGTGTACTTTGATGTCTTCTTTGCCGAGGACGGGCAGCCCGTCCCACCGGATACCGAGGCATATGTCGTATGTGAGGGCGATCCGGTCCTGGCGGAGGTCTGGCCCCTCGGAGGAAGACCTCATCCATCGCGGAGGATGAGCTCCGGCGAGGGTCTCCGGGGCAAGGTCAGGCCGAAGGTCACAAACTTCAGCACGAGCCCGCAGTCCATGCCGACACATTGGAAGCAGACGATCTTCCTGCTGAGGGATCCAATCACCGTGCACGAAGGTCTGTTTGCTTGTAGATTTCGGGAGAGTATACTATTCTGACTTTGGGCGCTCCATAGGGACGACCGTGCATGGAACCTTCAAGTGCCGGAAGAGTGAAGGTAACTCGAGAGAGTTGGACGTTGAAATCCACTACGTCGTCAAAGCTCCAGCAGATGAGCAAGCTATAGGTGACGCTGTTGTGCAGATTTACAAAGTGCGGTAATTTATTGCAGCATCACAAATGCAAAGAGACGGACGATGCAAATGTTGTAGTACTCATATTTTACTATAAAATAGAGCAGGTGCTTTTTTGTGTAAATGTTTGGAGGCTTGGTCATGATATAGTGAGCGACATAGGTTTATAGTATTACTATCGGTGAAAACGATTTTCTCGAGAGTTATACAGGACCTATCGATACACAGATCAGCTACATGAATATATGTTACATTGAAATGCTTCTAGGTAGCTTGAACTCTTCTGCAATAAGCCTTCCAATCGCTCTCGCAAAGCGTCACCCCCATGCTGCTGTACGAAAGCCAATCTTGATATATGCCAGTCGCCCTCCTGCGAATAGCAAGCAGGAGGGAGGAGAATTGTGCCTTCCTTCACTTGCCAATAGCGCACTACTTCGCGGACCACCTCCAATCCAGTGTGGTCAACGACCACCAGGAGCAGCCTTTCCGCTTTTTCATCTTCTCCCTCTTGAAGATCAGGCCAAATATTGCATGCGATATGATGGATTGCTTTCAGACGGACGAATCCGTCCAATGAACCATTCATAAGAGCACGTTAATAATCTCAACCGGCCAAAGGTATTCACCCAAATTCGCCGTGATGACTGCCTCAGGAGGCGTACGGATGGTCTTTACTATGTGGTTGTAATCGGCCCACAGGTGCTTGCGAAAGTCTGGAGGATACCGCATTGACACTGGCGCAGGAGCAGGCGAGCAAACAGAGGGTGCAAGAAGGATATAGCATCGTACAAGCTCACGAAATCAGTGTAGAACTGATAGAATGGCGTCGACAGCCCGAGGAAGCGAGCTGCTATCGACTCTAAAGTTGGCTGCGCGAACGTGTCCGAAGCTGGGGGCAGTGAGAGCGATGCCGTCGAAGCAGCGGCCACAAATGGGGCGACTAAACCTTCCATGGCCTGCTCAACGAGCCTATCACGGAAGACTTCCTCCGTTGAATCGTTTTGCTGTTGGCCATGCACGCAAATATAGTTTCCTCGCAGTTCATGACGAAGTTGGTCAGCGAATTCAGGTGCAGCACCTCACGGCCTATTCTCGCTAGGAGCAATGTGACCCTGACAACCTCTGTTTCCGATGCATCCCACCACGATGGCATAGATTTGAGGACCTCGGACTCACCCGAACGCAAGAGGTGATCAAGAGGGCTGAACATCCAATCCCGAGGTAGAGGTAGTGGGACTTCGCGTCGACTGTCGGGAGAAACAATCGGTGCAGGTGGCAATCTCTGAGTCATAGCGGTCGAGATCGAGTGGGGGGACATCCATATAGGACCAACGCAGAAGTCGTTCTTCGGCTGAAGGGCGAACATCAAGAAGGGCTTGATCACCTTAAGACCGCCCTTCGCCCAGATCACAGGAGGGACGGTCCATCCGCGGGGGTTCACGAATTCAGATCTCTGAGACGGCATGCTGAGCCAGCTCCTCGTCGCCAGGCATCAATCTGCGGAGGATAGCGAACGCCTGGGCAGTCCAGAGGTCTTCGGTCATGCCGGGTACCCTCCTAGACAGCTCCAGATAGCACGCCAGCACCCTCGACAGTGGTCTGCAAAATACGTGGGCATACAAAATTGATCCTTGCATGAAGACAGATTGCCAAATCGCATGCGTTGTAACCCGGGCGCATAGCTCGAAGAGCTGAGCAAATGGTAATAGGAAAGGGGGAGACTCCAAAGGTCCAGGTATATGGGACGGGACGCACGAGCGCAGCCGCAAGGACATCTGCATGCTCCACAAGCGTCTGGAGATTTAATATGTCTGTGACCAAAAGGGGACGAGCGCCGGCATTGCCCAAATCCACTAGCACATTGCTCAACGTCGTGCCGGATCTTTCCACTATGACTGGGCCATCCGGATGGAAGCCATCACGGACGGCGAGGATGCCAGCTGCTCGCTCGTCTTCGCCACTCCGCATCCCATTCACTCTTGCGCCTTCGAGCCACGCAGCTTCTGCTCTCTACAAAGCCACCCATAGTAATGTGTCCTGCTCTGCGATGTCGTCGGACCAGCCCCATCCTACGACCTGACTCCATAAAATTTCATGGCTAGGCATCGTATGGTGCGGGTCCCTCGAACACACCATCCACGCCTCTAGAAGCCGGAGCCAAACCTCTATGAGCTGTCTTGAGCGGCATTCCTCCGATAGTACGTGCCACCTGAGAAGGGAGAAATGCTCCGAGGCAGTGATACTAATGTGGGCGTATAGACCATATGATGCGAATATAATGAATAGCTGGAGCATTCCCATGAGCAAAGCAGTGGCAAGAAGAAGGGAGAAAGGCGATCACACAGGAGGAAGAATGATTATGAAGCGGAGCAGGGCGTCTGTCGCAAGGTGTGCCGCCGGCGCTTCTCGAGTCAACATCTGTCCTTGAAATGCGATTATCGGTTCTAAAACGATGCAAAGCGCCAGATGCGAACAAGGGGGCACAATAGCTTTGTAGACAGACGGCGGTTGGTGGTCTCGAAGTATGTACGATCTGCGTATTGTTTAGTAATGTCCGTCGGCTGATCATCTAGTAGTGCTATCTCGTGAGACTCAGGTAATCTTCGCACATCGAGTGCAAGGCGCTCCGAAGTGAATCCATGTCTTCCACCGACGCGTCCTGCTTCATGTTCCAAGACAAGCCTCTCGTATCCAAGACCATAATGCAACGGTCACTGGTGCGGTGGCTGCACGCCTAGGTAGGAATATTGAGCTATGCGGACTCTATGTGGACACCATACCACGCACTCCTCACGGTCCGTCGAGGATGGGATGTGCCCTTCCGGAATGGTGTGCAGAGCGAATGGGCCATAATGAGTACGGTTCAACGCCCTTGCCTGTACAAACAGTTACACACTGCGACTCTACAGCATTCCTGACGTTACTCACAAGGTGATTCATCCATGGGTGGCCGGATCTACGTTGGTTGGAGACAATCCTCGGGCCCTGCCCGAAGTGCATTTCTTGAATCCCATCAAATGGTATATTGAATGACGTGCAAGCCGATCAATTGCAAGGAACGTTTGCAGCCCTATATCAAAGTCTACGGTCCGTGTCGATGCAGGTCCCTTGATCACCGCATACTCTGGGTCAAGATCTCCTCTGATGCGCTCCTGAACATGCTCTTCGCACCCCCAGTGTAGTATCCGGCGTAGTGGACATGCATTATCGCGGACGTGGACGGAGATCACGTATCAGTAAAAAGGACAACAGCATGTAGACAATGTGGATGATCGACCTACGATATAAATGATTACATGATGATGAGGAGCATGAAGGAGAAGAAGCGCGTGCGGTAATGTCTGTGCATGAACTGATGTATACGCAGGACGAAGACATGCGACGTGACAATATCATTCCATGTCATGAAATGGCACAAGGAATCTCAGAGATTGGCCTTTGACAACAGGGTACGATGAAGACATGGGTAATCGGGTCAATACAAGGCAGAGCACTCTGGCGTCAACATAGAAAGTCCCGAACATCAAGCCTGTCAAGAGGTCAGTACCTCCGTGAGTAGAGGGCGCAAAAGGCTACTCACAGGAAGATATCATGGTCCCACACACCACCGAGCTCATAATAACTAACCATCCGATTATCGGTCATCCTCAGTGCATCCGCAACCTCCGCTGCTGCTCTGCCGGAAAAAGAATATCGCTCTGGATGCTCAAAATCAGTGTCGGCTTGTTCAACAGAGAGTGAAGACCCTCCGCAAGGTCAGGCAAATGTCTTGGCGGGTTTGATGGTGGCGGATGTGACTTCGAGTGAAATAACGACCAATGGTAGTAAGAATGTGAAGGCGAGGGCGGGTGGGAGGACATCGAATGCGGGAGGCGAGGAGGAGGGCTGCACGGCACCGGAGGAGTGAGATGGATCTCGGGAAATGTAGAGCGCGTGAGATCGAAGACGTCCATGGCCTTGGAAATGTAAATCAAAGAATTTATGTCATACTACAGGTAGAAGGACTCACCAGGAAGGCATCCCCGTAAGTCATGCTGTACGTTTGATCAGAGGAAGGACGATATATCACGAACCTGGTAGTCAAGAAAGGTCAATCAAGAAATCAGGGCAAAGTGCTGGTGAGCGGGGCAATGACGATTCATCCGGCGTTATTGCTAACTCAGGAAGCGGCTTCAATTTACAGCTGAATCTCTGATCCCGTTCAGCACTTGAGCGATATGTGACAGCTGCAATCTCTGATGATTTCATGTCAGCACTACATGTCAGATGAACACGTACGTCGAGCCAGCTTCATGCCCGTATGTGGTGGTAACAGAACCCATTCTTCCAGTTCCAGTTGGGATCTGCCATTAACACTGATACCCGAGTGAGCGAAGCTATAAATCACTCCACCCTCATAGGACGTACCACTATGCTGGGCAAATCGCATAGCGATCGCGCTTGGGCTGCTTCTCGCGGTCTCGCTGATGCTAACGACCTTTCCCATATGCTCAGGATACAGCCATCCTGCTGCCAAACTTTGCATAGCACCCACTGATGATCCCATGCTCACGTAGAGTTTGTCAATCTCAAGATGAATGAGCAAGCAGAACTGTGCGCGAACCCTATCGAAGATCGAGATCACAGGGAAATTGTGTGGCATACGGCTTCCCCGTAGAAGGATCAACTGACGAGGGACCGGTTGAGCCATAGCATCCTCCGAGGACATTTGTGCATATGATGAACTTCTCCCACCAGCCTTCAGAAGAGTTCAAATCCGTCAATACGGCATGAGAGGACGCCGACAAGCCAGTATGGAGCAGGATGACGTTGTCCTTCGCAGGCGACAACTCTCCCCATGTCTCGTACGTGATATCGAATCCAAGAAGAGTGGGGCCATACGTCAGCGATATGGGCTTCGAGTAGCGGTAAATTTTGTAGGATGCAGGATTCGGTCTCGCATACGGCGGCTCCGGTCCTGAGTGCAGAGTGGGAGAGGTCAGTGTGTCAGTGTGCGTGGGTAATTGCGAGGCGTGGAGCCGTGACTCCCGGGCGGCATGGGCTTTGACACAAGAAGGGACTATCGTGCGGTCTTGTTGAGGCGATAGACGACTGGACGGTGGCTGCGTGAGTGGATGGCTTGTTACGTATGAGAGTGTGCGGGAGCTTGAGGCGTCGCTGCGCGACCCTCGCAAGATGTCTAGGAACACCAGGCATGACGCTATCCATATGACCATCCCATGTCAGTTCTCATCATGATTGATTTATTTCTCGATAGCACTCGCCTTTAATCGTATATACAATGGGAGAGCTGACGCTGGCGGGAGATCAGGTAGCAGAATGTGGGTAGAGGACCGTATGGGGCAAGAGCAGGCAGATCTCTCCCAAAGACAGGAAGATATAAGAGGGAGAAGTCGTCAGGGACATATTCGGGCCTTCGTTCATTTGGATAGGGCACCACCATGGTCCGCAGTCCACAGAATTTGCACCTTGCGTGCAATCGCACATGCCTGCACGCGACCACGTGCGCTTCTGACGTGCGCCATGGCGGGGGGTACTCATTCTAGAACTCATTCTAGAAGATCTGATGCGAAGCACTCGCAGGGCTTACGTAATCTATCAGCCCCTTTTCGGGAAACATGTCGTTGCTTCTGTGGGCCGGGCGGCCACTTATAATGGATGGCGGATCAATCGATCACGATGCACGTTGTGGACTATGCTATGCGACCGTCGCATTCCGAGTCCACGAGACCAGGAAAGAATTCAACGACCATCTTCACGGGATGGACAGTAGTGTTGCACCTGGAATTTATGTTGTCTGTTATTTGGAACCGGCGCCGCCATGCCAACTAAGAATTCTTCGTGACTCGGGATGCATCACATCACGTGCACCGGGGTCGGTGGACCAATCGGCGTGGTTACGCCCACATTCGTGAGCAGATAGACTCTCCTCTTCGCAGAATCCAGATATTCTTCTCTGATAGGTACGCGCATGCTCTGAAAAATTACAACGCCAGCGTGTGCTCATCTTGATCGATAGAATACGGTGCAAGAGCTGCTTCAGTGCTAGTTAATAGCAATTCCCACAAGACGCAGGTACGTGGTGACCGCTGAGGTTCGTCATAGATAGTCTCATTTTGTCACAGTCTTCCCCCCGCGCTCTGAGCATTGTCAGTTTCTGTCAGGGTTGAGTGGTGAGTTTGCACACCTCAGAAGGCTGCTTCAGCGTAATGTCCACCCATCTTATATTATAAGGGTATCAGCGTATTGATTTCATATGCGCCTACAGAATTTCTATATCTGGACATGAACTATCATTTACATAAGATTAAACGACGCTTTCGACGATGGCAGGAACTTAAGCGAGCAGAAAGAGCACAAGTAACATATCGGACGGTGGTATTTGCCTCATTCTACTTTCTGTTCTCATTTATGCTTTTCGTGGCATGTCTCCTATGTCCAGCAGTGGGAATAGAGCTTCCCATTGCAGCCATCATTTGTTTTGTTGATTTTGCCGCAATCCTTGAGTTATCAAGTTGTACGTCGAGTAGATTTGCTTCTGCTTCTGACAGTGTCTGGCTCATTATGATGAATTTATAGTTCTCGTTCTCCAGTGCGAACGTGCCGCGCTGCGATCAAGGCGTCTTTCAACATCATTTGGGGCCTATACTGTCACCATAGTCATTTTGGTCTTCCTCGGCTCACTCAATGCGTCAATGCTCATGGTGGTGTTCATGTGCGGACTTGACACATGCATGATGTATTCGCTGCTGCTGTTGCTATGCTTCACCGATTCAGATAACTGCAGACGCGGCAACTCTGTAGCTCCCACTCAAAGGATCGCTCAAAGAACGGGCTCAGAATCCACCATGAGACAGGGCAAGGCCGTGACCATATTCATACAGGGTACTAATCTCAAAGCAGTTCAGATTGGTAAGTATCTCATACATATACGCAAAATGCTGCAAGCTTACTGGCGCAGTTATCAATCAGCAAACGTCCGCTGCAGATGTCATGCACATCTTATCTCAACGACATCTTATCCCCAGCCTCCGGAGATTGCAACCTGCTCTCTACTACAAGTCATCACCTCTCGAAAATGACGCTAATCTGTTCAGCCTCGGAGTACGAGATCTGTCAACACTTCATTGCAGGTTCCGAGTCTTAGGAGGATCTAGAAATGGTAAGCTAAGTAATCTTGTTTGAACTCGAGGTCTTGTCTCTAACAGAAAGATTGTCTATCGGAATTGCAGCAGGGCCAGGCCCAATGACATTTCAACCTTTGGCAATCTCTGAGCAGAAGCTTGGTACGATGTGTCTCCAGTTCTTAGCATTCGACCTGACGTAACTCTCAGCATCGACAACAGACAGGAGAAATGCCAAAAGCCGTAGAACAGATCAACGCAAACTGCAGCATAAACTGATGCTGGAATCTCTGGAATCTGAGGGATTGGATGAATATGGACAAGCAGTTAACCCTGCAAGTGCGCAGGACTCACCGAGTCTCCCGGCTGTGACACACCATGAAACGGATCGCCATGGGCGCACAGTCAAGCCAGCCCTCATAACATCAGAAACCTTTCCGTCTTCAGCGGCAGCACCCACGACTCCAGATAATTCCAGTGCGGGCTCATCCACACAACACGAGGATCAAAAGATTATCGAGGAAGGACGAGCATGGGCAGACCTTCTGCACCTCATCTCATACGTGGACCATTACTTGTCTTTACTCAAGCTGGACGAGCCTCTAAAGTTCATTCTCATCAAGGCTACGACGGCCGTTGGGAGTTCAAGTGATGGCACCTCTCGCCCACCTTACGATAACTATGCATTGGATACCACCAGTAAAAGTGTGCGCCTATTCCTCCAACATGAGAAATGGCTTTGTTCCATGCTTGGAGACGTGCAGGAACTACCATTCCTGGATGATCCTAGGTATCAGCAGCAACGCGATGTGCTGGAGAGCCGAATACGCAGTGAAATAAACCTATTGCAAGATCGCCGATTGCGTGATTGGTGCAAACAGACACCCCCTACAGCTGATCACAGTGCGCCGCAAGCGGAGCATTATGTGGACACAAGTGAGTGATACATAGAAATGGGGCTGCCGCATTGCATAAGTTTAATCATGACCATATAGATGAATACTTCACGATGTTCGACCATCGCCTGAAACCAGTGGTATTGGCATATCATATGGTCGCATTGACCATGAATCTGTTGCAACGCCTGCCTCTCAGGGGAAGCAAGATTCTGCTATCGGGGCTTCGGACAATCATCCGCCTATCAACAACATTTGCTCGGGGCGGATTCGGTAGCACTGAAGACGACTCACTGCTGAATGAGTTACCAAAGGATATTCGAACCATTTACCGCCACTTCAATCTTGATCCCCACACACGTGCGTACGCATGTTGTCCAAAGTGCTTCGCACTATATGTGCGTCACGCTTGCCCCGAATTCTGCTTACACCGAGAACTGCCCGAGAGCGAACCATGCAGAGAAAAATTGTGGCGGATCCGCACGATCCGGGGCAAACAATTTGCATATCCATTGAAAGTATTCCTGTACCAGGACATGAAGCATTGGATGGCTCGGCTTTTGTCTCGCCCTGGCATGGAGGACATTATGAGCAGCGCAAATCGGCATGCCGAAACAGTGCCAAAGGAGAAGCAACGAGACATATGGGACGCTCCGCTCTTCCAGAACTTCAAGGGCCCTGATGGCATCTCCTCATTTGCGCATGGCCCCTCCCATGAATCGCGGTACTTGTTCAGTCTATCTATCGACGGCTTTAATCCTTTTTACACAAAGGTGGCAAAGCAGAATGTATCTGTTACAGGAATCTACATGGTTTGCCTGAACCTCCCTCCCCACCTGCGATACTTGCCAGAAAATACATATCTAGTTGGCATCATTCCCGGTCCCTCTAAACCGTCACTCAATCAAGTGAACCATTTTCTAGAGCCCCTCATTGATGACCTTTTGGCATTCTGGGACCCAGGAGTTTTCTTCAGTCGCACCGCATCATATCCTAAGGGACGATTGGTTCACTGTGCAGTCATACCTTTAGTGTGTGATCTACCAGCAGCACGGCAGGTTTCTGGTCATGGCTCCTACAGTGCCTCATTCTTCTGCAGCTTCTGCAAGCTCAGACTTGAAGATATCGAAAATTTTGACAGTAACACGTGGCCGAAACGCGATCCTATGGAGCACCGTAAGCATGCAGAAGAATGGAGAAAAGCAAATTCCTATGAGGCTCGTGCAAGCATATTCAAAGCGCATGGTGTAAGATGGTCCCAGTTGCTTAAACTTCCTTATTGGGATCCCATAGCATTCACCGTCGTGGACACAATGCATAATCAATACCTGGGTCTCATCAGAACTCATTGCAAAGAGATCTGGGGCATGAACATTGAAGTGGAAGATGGGGATGGGATGTATGTTCATGCTCGCAATGTTCCACCACGACCGTCCGACACTGACATGCAAGAGGGTAAGCATCTCTTGTATGGAGGCTCAATGTCACAACTGGCAAAATGTACGAAGGCAGTGCTATGGCATCTTTGTTTTGAGCATGACCTTCGCTGTGCAAGAACCAAAAAACAGCTGCTAGCTTCCTTGGTTCATTGGGTGAGTATCACATTACTTGGTCGGTATCTTTCGTTCTGATGTACAAGTCGGACGCAGCGCATACAAGAGGGCTTTGAAGTAGACACATCCTCTGCCATGGATGTGACTTCCAAGTCTAATAATTCAACATCCACCTTACCCATGATGGAGGAACGTGTGAGAAAGGCGGAGGCATCATTGGCGCGAGGCAGTCAAGCAAAGACACTGGCCACCCATTGTAAGCCGGCGTTGATAGCTATGTGCGAATCCCGACATCTCGAATCCACTGGCGTGAAAGCTGTTCTCGCTGAGAGGCTTATCACATGGGTAAGATATGAGCTATTGCTGGTCGTACGAACACTTATATTGGAGTTCTGGCGCATTTAGCAGTTACAATTAGCCAATGGACAGCAGAATAAGCCAGTGGGTGCATCGTAGCTTCATTTGCTATATGCAATGAATTGATACTGTATTTATTAGCAGAACACTCATGCGACTGCCGTCGATGTTAGTACTCTTTTCTGCTTCTTTATCAAGAATTACTCACGATCTAATCAGCCTCCACGTCTGTCACATGAACAGCACGAAGAAGGAAAAACCAGGAATGCTTCCACTGTTGTATTGGGTCGAAACACACTCGCACAAGTTCACGCAGACATGGAGCAGACAGAACTTCCATCCTGGGTCAGTCCCGCACCATGCAATTTTGGCACTGAAACAAGGGGCAAGCTGCATGCAGATCAATGGCTGGCAGCCTGCTCTATTAACCTTCCTATAACGCTTGTGCGTCTATGGGGAAAAGAGCAAGGTAGAAAGCAGAAAATGCTGCAGAACTTCATGGACCTCCTCACTGCTGTCACGATAAGCAGCATGCTCGAGATTTCTCATCAGCATATTCAGATCTACGAGAGGTCTTTGTTGCGATACCTGCAAACTTTGCGGGAGCTCTACAAGGAAGCGGTCATCAAACCTAACCATCACTTGGCTTTGCATGTCGGTGAATCCCTCCGAATATTTGGTCCTGCTCACTCCACGCGTACATTCTCCACCGAGAGAATGAACTACCTCCTCATGCAGACAAATACTAATGGAAAATTTGGTATGTTACGTCCTGAAATACTGTGTCTGTATCAATGATGACCCAGTCCCCATATAGGCGAGCTTGAATTGACTTATATGACACACACGTGCCGAGCGGCGAACCTCCGTGCTTTGCTACGGCATGATAAAATCCGCGGTATAATGGACGAGTTCATGACTTGTTATGATGGCATTTACAACGAGGATAGACGAGGAACACGGCTGCGAGAGTCAACAACACTAGATGCACAACCGCAAGGCATACCCGGGAAGAATAGCAAGGTCACTTCTTTGGAGAAAAATCAATTTATGGCTTTGCTCCAGCTGCTCAACGCCGAGATAGGACATGACATGTACGTTGATGCCAGGGACGTTAGAAGGACTCCTGGTTGTCAACAGCTGTCCAACAAGGGCACAAACTGTCCGAAAATCATGATCGGAGGTATCACATATCGTCCTCATAATGTGGCACCAAAGGATAGCAACATCATCTTTTCCTCACCTCATACTGCGCATACTCAAGCAGGAAGGATCATCAATATCTTCTTGCATCAACATCGCGATGTACATGGAAAGCTTGTCGAAGAATCATTTGTAAGTATTGAGAGCCTGCAAGAGCTCACTGAGCTAGATCGTCTCAGTGATCCATACTCCAATTTTCCTGGGGTCGGTGGCAAGCTCTATTACAATGCATATTCTTCAGATATAAATGTCGTCAGGCCAAGCAACATTATATCTCACTTTGCAAAGACCCCTATGGAGGTTCAAGGCATCAAGAGATCTTGCATACATGTGCTACCACTGGATCGTGTACGCTTTTTCTTCACTGCTGTGGGTACTTGAAAAAATCTGATTTAAGTTAACGCACAGATGATGCACTTGGCAGATTCATTTGCTGATGATGAGGAAACAGAGATGGAGGAAAGCCTCACCAATGACTCCTCAGAGTTGCCTAGTGGCGTATTAGATGATTTCTTCCACCAGCATGGAAGATAATGCTTACATCTTAGTCATGAATGATAATATCGTGGTAACGCGTTCGATGACCCAATAATCGGCCACGTAGCCTTCATCATTCCCTTGCCTCTCTTCCCTCGCATCATTGAATGGTATACCAAGGTGAGCACTGGCTAACGAAAAGCGCAGTGCTACCGGCCGCGCTCACTTGACGTAGTCCCCGGCGGTGACCACTTCGTACTTGGGCGGCCGATCTTCGGAGACACAGCTCGGAATCGGCTACAAGAACCTGACTCAATAATCTGCAAGTTCAGCTTGTCGGACACTGTACCTCGAGCTTGACATTATATAATCTGTGCGAAAGAAGAGCGGGATTGAGTAGCGACAGACGCCACTGCGGTTTATCGCACGATGCACGGTCGATTTGAAGACATCGTCTGCACAAGTGTCAGCTGGTTCTGTTCAACGCAGAACTTCTTCCGATGACCCACTCGTCCACCGAGCAAATTGGTCACCGAGGCTGATGTAATTCGATGTGAGCAGAGGGGCGCCAAGGGAGAGTTCGGAAAATACTTGATGACCAGTGTGCCGGAAATGGGCGGTGCCTCTATCCACTGCTTCTGCTTGTTCAGAACTTGCAAGGCCTGGATGCCGGGTTCTTGCCATCAGATGGTGAAGCACTGCATTGCACATCGTGAGCGGCAAGAATCAGCCACCTCCTATCGCCAGATAAGCTGACCTCAAAACTGCAGACGTAACACTAAGAAATTAAAACAATAAGTCAAGACAGGTGCTGGCTTACTCGGTGTGTGCGCCGATACCGATGACGCGGTCGTCCACCAGAACTGTCTAGGGTGGATAATGTAGGACATGCATGATGGCGGCAGAGTTCTTCGTCTGGAAAGTAGACATCGTGCATCATCTATGCTGCTGAACTGACTGATTTCACCTTATCATCGAAGTAGTCCTCTGGAAGATTCAATGCCAGAGCGAACAGGGGGAACATTTTCTTGCCTAGCTCGACAGCGGCATGACTGCAGTCAAAATATGAACTGATGCACTAGTCCTTTATATGGAACACCGTCGAGATCTATCGAATTCGCGTCAGTTAAGAGCCCGCAGAAGACATGTGCGCGTGTCGCAATCATGCTCAACCGTCGCATCGCCAGTTTCAAGAGAACATGTCCGGAATACTTCCCATTATCAAGGCAGAAAGGATAAGCCCCCTGCTCATAGCGGGCGAGATGCAGCTCACGGGTGTGGGAGTAAGGAGGACCCTGCGGACGGTTATGAGCTGTGACATGGTACGAATGTAGCGCAGGATCATTTCATCATTATACAATGCCGGGTTGAATATATTTATTGCCCTTGCAATGGACGTTCGCCTGCTTGTTCACACATTTTCACCGCAAGAACTCAAATTTCGAAGTCATCAAGCACTGTCCGGTCGCGCGGTTTTGACGACACGGCCACTTCGCAACTCACACAAATTCACGCAGATCTTCTCTAACAACGTTTGTATTCTATTTTCTACACTACGCGATGGTAAACTATGGGGTACGCTACGCTACGGTACAAATGCGAGATGCGGGCGCAATGCGCATACGGTACGGTACAGTAGCGAGTACGTATGCGAGGTATGGTACTACGTAACGGCTATCGTGTCTAATAGGTATCGTATCTAGCGGGTATTCTATGCGATGGGTATACTACGAGAGCGGCTACCGTATGTATGAGATGAGAGACGGAGTACGGTACGCTATGCTACGGCTATGGTACGTCTACGGTAAGGCTACATGAAATCTACACTAGCGGTGTGTATCTTTATGACTGCACTACGCTACAACTACACTACAACTAAACTACGCTGGACCTTGAGCTTGAGGAGCTGTGGGGGGAGACAATAAGTAAGGTCACCGAGAAGAGAGAGAGAAACAGAGAAAAAGAAACAGAAAAAAAAGAAACTGATTCCCCGGAACCCTTTCGTTCCGCCAGTTGCCCTTACACCCTCTTGACGTTACCCTCCACATCCACACACCGCAACCCTCCCCTCCGGATCCCCCGTCTGTTCAGGGTACCCCGGAGAACCCGCCCTGGACAACCCATCTAGGTGCTGCCAGAGCTGGGATGATCCCTGCCCCGCCTGGATCCCCCGCGTCCGGGATCACCACAGCAGGACATTGAAACATTTGGGTGCCCAGATTCCCCTGTGTAGGGTCCTCCGGAGTGAATGTTTATCGATGTCCATCCACCTCTGAATTCCCCGCGCTGGGTTTCCAAAGTCGAATGGTTGACGTTCCGCGATCCGCTTCGCGTTCCCTGCGTCCAGGGCTTCGTCCGAAGCTGGAACGTCTGCGTTTGTTTGCATATTGCACGCTCTGCATTCCCGGGCCCAGGGACCTCAGAGCGGATAAATATGAGGAATGAGGAATAGACCGTTTTGCATATAAATATAAGCTGAAACCGCGATAGTCGAGAGCATAGACGAGAGCACGATAGGAAGATGAGATGAGAGCATGAGAACAGGATGACGAGATAGCATGAGAGAAGGATGATGAGATAGCACGAGAGCAGGATGATGAGATGCGCGAGAGCAGGACGACGAGAAAACACGACGAGAGTGCCGAGATAGCCGAATGGAATTATGTTGTAGATGCAATGATGTGATGTGAGAGTGCTGTCGATGATAATGATAACAAAAGTGCCGTACCCAGAGAAGTCGCCAGTTGCGACGTGTTGCCGTACACGTCGATGAGAGAACCGCCACCAAGATGAACAAGATGTCAGGCCTTCGGAGCAAGTCAGCGATAACAACAACGTTTACACAACGAAATGACGCACCAAATAACATACCACTGGCCGCTAGTCCACGAAATAGCGGAATCACGAGACACGAAGTCCGTGGGCAGTGCATAAGCCCGCCTTAATGCATACGAGATAACGTTTCACCTGTTGAACACATCAACAAGGAATTGTGGGCTTAGAAGTCGGTGCGATTGCTCACCATATTGACCACCAGCCCCTGTTCCACGAACTTGTCAAGTTGCGAGACACGCGAAGTCTCGTAACAGCCCATCGCCAGTCTTGAGATCACAAGATAACGCAAAGCCCTGACAAATAGTCAGCAACTGATTCATTCGATCATACAGAAAAACACTCACCACGCTGATTGCCAGCCGACACTGGGAATAGAGAACCCTACTAGATACCAAAGCCCCAAGCCATAGACCTCTCCATGTCCATGATGCCGATTGATCTTGCACCTGCATGACGGATGTCGCAGATGTGCAACGAAAGTCCATGTTGCTTGTCATCCCCCTTGATGATGTCCGTGATGATCAGTCATTTTATGCGAGAAATGCACGAATTGCGAAGAGCCTCTACTCACGCGCCTAACGAACGGGTGAGGCGCTGCCCGCAGTGCAATAATCTCGTAATATATGACGATTGTCGACTGAGGTTGGAATGCTGGTGATTACTAGAAGCGCAACGTGCGTACGGGCCTCAACTCCCGCGTCGTGGACGCGAGAGGCGCTACCTCGTGACGTGCTATCCGAAAGACTCGCAGCGGCGCAGGAGCGTCAACTCCCGCATCATAGATGCAAGAGGTGCTACCTTGCTGTGCGATGCCTCGTATTCACGTGCATATTCGACTGATGGTATGAATTATCCTGGCGGGAAGATGTTTTTCCCAAGCATTTGGAAGGTATGGACTTCATTGATGATCTGGTCTGATTTGCTAATCCGCGGCTGACAATTTCGGGTTCATGCAAGAAATGTGGCAAAGAGCTTCGACTCTCGAGTCACAATCGACGCGAGAGGCGCTACTTCACGGCACAGCATCCTGGCAGAGTCAGTGTAAGTCCAGAGTGAGCAGCGGGGCATCCTAGAGGTGTATGAGCACAGCTAGATCTTGAAGCGCGTCGTCTGCTATCACAGTCCACTTTAATGACTTCGACCTGCACATTGAAAACTCGCAACAGGCGTGAGGGCCTCAACTCCCGCGTCATGGACGCGAGAGGCGCTACCTCGCCGGGCGGTCTTGTCGTGGCAGATAAAGGTCAATACGGTGAAAGTGCCTGCAAATGGGGACTCGCAACTTGCGTAAGAGGTGCTACCTTGCAGGACAATGTCCTAATGGTAGAAGTACGTCGACTGGCGATCTGGACTTGATGATGGTGCATGACAGAGGAATCGTGCTGGGACCCGGCTCCCACTGGCCACTTTTCCACGAAGTCGTCGACTTGCGAGAGATGCAAAGTCTTGTAACAGCCCATTTGCCAACCTTGAGATTACCAGATATTGCGAAGCCTTGATAACTAATCAGTAATTAATTCATTCAAGTCTACATAACCTGCTCACCACGCTGATTTCTAGCCAACATTAGAGGTCAAGAATCCTTCTAAACGCGAGAGCCTCAAGCATTAGACCCTTCTCCGTGCTCATGATGCCGATTAGTCCTGCACCTGCACCACAGTGGCACAGCCTTGCGACGAAAATCCAGGTTGTTTGTCATCTCCCTTGATGATGTCCGCGATGGGTGACCATCCTATACGAGAAACGCGCGACCGCCAAAGAGCATCAACTCACGCGCCTGATGCATGCGTGAGGTGCGCCACGCTACCTGCAGCGCGATAGTCTCGTAAAGCATGATAATCATCGACTTTAGTGAATGCCTGTGACTGCCGAAATCGCAACGTGTGTAAGAGCTTCAACTCCCACGTCGTGGATGCGAGAGGCGCTCCCTCACAGCCTGCTATCCGGTGGACTCGCAGCAGCATGAGAGCCTCAACTCTCGCGTTACAGGCGCGAGAGGCGCTTCCTCGCCATGCGATGTCTTGTATTCACGTGGTAGTCAAGGACGGTACGAAATATCTGAGGATGGAGAAGGGAGGTGTTCTGAGCATTTGGAGGGTATGAACTTCGTTAAACGATCTGGTCCGATTTGCTGATAGCATTTGGTCGAAGATACGCATTGACCCTTCAATCAGCCTGAAGACAGGGCACTTGGTGGGCATGGTTAGCAGGGGGCAGTACGATGGTGTTCGCATACATAAAGACTGCGTGGGCTTCTGATAGCATCTTCAGCAACGTGAGTAAACCGGGAGCGTTACGTTGATATTGGAGCTGGAAGCGGCGGCTCGAATTGCTGATGTAAGAATGCGACGAGTAGTGTGCGATGATATTAGGGCGGAGACTGCTGAACGTGTTCATTCATCTTGACGGCAATAGTTTCGACAGAAGAATGGATGAGAGATTGCGGTGCAGCTGAGCGCTAGGAACAAATGACGTTTCAAAGTGATAAGGCGATTGGTGGTAGTCGGTTCAGATGACAATCGGAGGATTGATGCTGCAAATATCGAAGTTGACGCTTCAGCAGCATGTACGAGTGCAATGGGATGAAGAGGACTCGTGTCCAACAGTGGTTACGATGATGTTTTGATGACAAGATGTTGAATTGGAGACGGCGCTCTCCATTGAGAGCAATTACGCTCAAATGCGACTGTTACGACCGCGGCCATGCTGAGCGGTGGAGCGTATGGTCTTCCGACGCAAAGTCAATAATGCGATTGATTCGGCTCCCCACGGACTACTCACCGAGTGGATGCGCTGTCTCTTGGTAGTAGACCGCTCTAACGGATGAATCGACTTTGTCCCAGAGACAGGATCAGCATCGACATCCTGCCTTTTCTGTTTCATCGACGGTCTTTCTTGGTCATGTTCAGCATTAACGACCGGATTGAGGCGTCGAGAGGAAAGCGGTTGATCAGCGATCTATACAAGCAAGCGAACAAGTGAGGGTGGGTTGTAAGACAGCGGAACAGATACTCACGACAGCAGTACGCTTTTTCGATATGCCGCTCATTCTTGCTAAGAATTTCATTGGAGCAGCACGCATCTTGTCCGCGTACTTGTTGGAAATAGATATCAGCGGGTTCCCCAGAAGGCTGCATGGGTTCACGTATTTCTCTCGACGTATCAGAAGACTGTGGAGAAGAGCACTGAGGATCAATGAATGATTCCCAAATCACATTGTCAAATGCCGCACCTGAACGAAAGGTCGTCGCTTCTTGGGAACAAGAGGTCTTGTTAACCGGTTGGATTCAAGAGCTTTAACCACGAATTTTGAGCGCATGGGCTGTGTGACAGGATCATTTACAAATGTTCAATTAGCGAAACAGGGGATGGCCTATGTAGTCAGTACGTTGCCTTTTTGACAAGAACGGCGTCACTGATGAACGATGCACAGAATCGTCGTATTCGAGATCGAACTGAAAGAAACGATGATTACCGACCGATATAGCATGCTGCGAAAAATGGTGACGTACATCGACGCCGCGCTTCCTCTTCAGGGCCGGCCCACGAATGGATTGCTGGTCGATATCTAAAGGACCGAGTTGAGAACCGAGCGACGAAGAAATTTGTCTCATCGGCCGGGCTGGTGCGTCGGTGAATCGAACGTGAGCTGACGATTTTCCAGGCTAGCAGGTTTCCACCGACTGTCAGAACTACAAAGAAAGCAGCTAGAAAATGAACTTATGGGATCTACGCGTTGCTCAATGGGCAACGTGGACGGCAGAGGTGCGCGAACAAGCCGAACCCCGAGGTATCGATCGATTTTCCTTACCACTAATGAACCAGACGTTCGTTTGATGACGATCTTGCTACCTTGAGCGAGGCTATCGCATTTCGAGGTCTGATCAACAATCTGAACGACAGAATGATGTTGTTCAACGATGTGGAGCGATGGGCAACGGACAAAGGTGAAGCACACACCGAGTCCATGTTCTGTTTTGCGATCGATGACCCATGTCCTTGTCTTTCGTCAGTTTGGTTCTCAGAGTTCAATCTTACAGACTAACCGACAGGAGCAAGCATCAGCATATTTATCTAGGAAGCTGCAATAGATCTCACCGATTCTATGCACTGCGGCTCAGATGATGAGGGCAATGTTATCCTGAAAGATTCGGTATCCAGCACTGTGTTGATGTTCCGGTTGGAGAAAATAGCCTGAGCATCAGGAGTTTTGTGACCGGCTATGACTGGGCCTGCAGAATCTGCTGGAGGAGCCCGGTCAAGGGGCGTTGACGAGGGCGCCTGCATAAATAAGATCAGCTCAACTTTATTAGGGGAAAAGAAGAGAAAGGAAAAAGGAAACGGACGGATACTTACAGTAAACAATGTCTCCTGAGTATGAACATTATCAGTTTCCATGGGCGGTGAGATGGGAGGAGATGCAGGAACCTCAGCATTGGGCTGCATAGGAAAACATGAGACATCACGCCTGGTGTGACCAACTGCCAGGACAAAAAAGGACGTACCACGTTAATACGTTGCCTTTTGAATGAAGGCGACTGCACGTCTCTTCGTATCCTAACAACTTCAGGCTCATCGGCAGATGTCCTCTGTCTCTTGCCGAGCACGCTGATTGTTTCGAAGTGCCCCGAGCGATCAGGATCAAACAATACTATGCCTTCCTCGGAAACAGTTGCTTTGCTGGGCAGTGAGGCTTGAATAAGATGAAGTGCTGTGCACGAGGCATCATCCGCGGGAATAGATGGAACAGCCAGAATTCGTTCCTCATGTGGTGGCATTGTCGATGCCGCCGCGTCCAGACAAAGTGCGCGTTCTTTGTCTGGACGCGTTGTCTCCGACGTGTTTGCCTGACTTTGAAGAGGAACATCCATCTTCTCATCTGAAGGGGCATGCTCCTTTACCTGATTCCTTCTCGGGTAGTTCGGGAAGCGTCTGGACCAGCCCACACTTCCATAGACAACCTCTGCCCAAAGCACTCGCAGATCGTCGTCTGTAGGAGGGCTAAGGAGAAGTGGATCCGCGAGATTCGCTTCCGGGGGCTGGTCATCTTTGTCCGCGTCTGCATCCGAGTCATTGGTATCATCATCTGTGTCATAATCTTCAGAGAAATCTTCCTCTTCAAGCGGACCGATAATAGTGCTGAGTGCTCCTGGAGGGCGTCTCTGCATGCGGAGAGGACTTGGACTGAGTTGTTGCCATGAATTTCTCGAATGCCGCGACTGAGGCGGACTGAGACTGGGCTGTCGAGGGCCAGCTGACAAACTGGGCCTCGAGCGAGGAGGACTAAGACTAAACCTCCGAGAGCCGACACGCAAACTGGGCCTTGAACGAGGAGGACTAAGATTACTAAACCTTCGGGAGTCTGTTGGTAAACTAGGCCTCGAACGAGGAGGACTGAGGCTGAGCCTTCGAGAGGCTGCTGGCAAATTGGACCGTGAACGAGGAGGACTACGACTGAGCTGCCGAGAGCGAGCTGGAAAACTGAACCGCGAACAAGGAGGACTTAAACTGAGATGCCGAGGAGCAAGACGAGCGTCGTTCTGACTGAAAGGCGTAGGCATTGGATGAACATCCTTAGGAGGATGCGCGGTAGATTCATCACAAACGACTTGGGAAGATTGCTCAGCTTCTTGAGCATTCGTATGGACTCCAGATTTGCGTTTGGGACGTCGATCTTTCCAGTATGCACATTTGCCCCAATTTGGTGCAGGCCAAGTTGAATACGTGCCCGTCGGTACAAAGGTGCTAGGGCCGTGCCATCGCGCACCTACTTTAAGGCCATTAGCTCGAATGCTAAGATGAGCGGAACCTGGAACACTTACACTCGCGAAGCACAACAACTCTCCATTTCTGCTTAATTTGCTCTACCTTTGCTTCTAGTTCGGCGTGAGCATCAGCCTCCCTCTCTGCTTGAATAAAGTCTCGTGCTTTCGCTACACCTTCACGTAGGCTCTTCTCCCGACTTTCGTAGAATTCTCGTAGGATGGGAACAAGTGTGTAACCTCCACCGTCCCGTATGACTGCTGCGGCTGCCTGTGATTTCTTCGGGTATAAGAGTTCGACAGGGATGTGTTGATAGGGCCGGAAGCACTGATGATACTCATCCCACTGCCTGACATGAAGGTCCCAACGCAACAGATCGAGCAAGTCCAGCTCAAGCTCCTCGTCAACATCGCATCTGATCTGAGGGTCTTCACTGACAATTTTTGCGGCAAGGTAGTCGATGAAAGCAGCTCCAACAAGGTGACAGATGCCCTGTCCTAACTCCCATAGCCTTGCTTCAGCGATAGAGAGCAGAACTTTTGCTACGATGGCCTGAAGGATCGCGCGTTCTCCTGCTTCGCGAGCGTCTATAATAATGCGATTACCGTGATCTTCTGCCCAATCCAATTGTTCAAACATCAATCCAAGCCAGTCTCGGTCTTCTGGATGCAGTGGTTGAACCACAGGATACTCGTACTTAATGGGCAAGTTGAATGGAAACGTTTGTTCGGCCAAATCGTCCTCTGAGGACCATTCATTCTCCACAATCTCCTCAGCTCATAGGTCACCAGATTCGTTACGGAAAACTCTCCGAGGAGGAGGTGGAGTCGATGCATAGCCTGACTCAGTTACCGGAGATGCGGGACGTTCGGGCGTCAGCAGACGAGTTCGACGTGACGGATGATACTGGGAAGACAATGGCCTCAGTTGCACTTCAGGATTCGGAGCATTTGACAATGTGGGGAGGGCGAGACTGGGGGGGACTGCTCGGTGCAGACGGGTGAGCAGGGTTCCGAGCGCGTGGGCTGGAGAAAGTCGGCAAGGGCAACGGAGGAAGGGTCTGTGGGAGGTCGACATTACGCTTCGCGCGGAACGGCATCACTTGTGGCGACTGAGACCGAATGCGCAATCGTTCAGAACGGCACAGCTGTGAGAGTGGACCAGATGGGAGTGGATGTTCGCGTGGAGAGAGGCCGACAGGCTAGGGAGAGAAAGAGTGAGAGCGCGCACGAGGAGTCGTCTCGAGTTGTGGTGTTACTGAGCGACGTGATGAACCTGTCAGCGAGACAATATCAAGAGGCGGAGGCATGGCCGGTAAAGATGGCGGACGGTAGTCGCAATGGTTCTTAGACAATTGCCCTGCGCAAGCAGATGAGGAGCCTCGCGGAGGTGATGGTGTCCGCAGCAGCGACACTGAACGGAAGCGTCCAGGCGACATTGACGGCGGACGGGAGCGCTCCTTCGGACTCGGTGTTCATCCGCGATCAAAGAACACAGCAGCTTGACCCACCTGGCCTGAAGGCGATGCTGACTCTTCGTCTTGATAGTCAAACTCTCCTTCAATGTGATTGATAGGCATCTTCCTAGTACCATGCTCGTAAGCGATCTCTGCACGACCCTCGATGCCATCCGCTTCCGATTGGAATCCGTAGTCTATTAACTCCTCATCGTATTCAATCTCAATTGCTGACAGACCATTCACAGATTTGTGGATGGCCGCTTGCTGACGAGAAGCGATATCGTCCTCTGGTGCAATGGTTTCTTCCTCCATGAGGACAGGTAGAGGAGAGACGCGTGAAAGATCTGGAGCCTTGCTCTTAATCGAGTCGGAAGCATCTTGCGGAGCGGTAGCGATAACTAGAATGTGGCGATGAGAAAACGGAACTTCGTCTCAAACCTAAGCCTTACTCTGAATGGGTTGAGATGGAGAGCGACAGCGTGCCCGCTTCGTGGGCCTAAGATCGGAGGCCAAATGCCACAGGGTTCGCCAGGATGCTTCAATGAATGTGACACGGGCTTCAACACGGCTCGAGACAGATCAAATTGGCAACGCGTACCATCCGCGGGAATACGAGGTGAACGGACGCGTGCACGTTTCTGGCACTTGGGCTCTTCAGGTGCGGCAAGCAGAGCATACCAGTCAAAAGGGGCACCTGTGATAAATGGGGTGAGCACGTAAGATATTGTACAGGACAGCCAGAGCCATCACTGACCTTTAGCAACTTCGGGAACGGAGGCAGGTATGGGAGAACGGTGCAGCTGTTCAGGAGGCCCAGACACAATGACTGCAAGTGCTGTGGGTTCCTTCCTTTCAACTTGCGAGGCGACTAGAGATGGTTCATGAGCACATTATCATGGCCTGCAGAATCGCGGACTTACCACCTTCGGATGTGAGAGCGGGATGATCCGGCTGTTTCCGCGCCTCGACTGGGAAAATAGAAGAAGGTATAGCAACAGTGTCTTGCATTGGACTGAGAGTCTGTGAATAAAACGTGGTTCGTATATATCGCAAACATACCGTCGGCGGGAGCGAGAATGGGCGAATCATGGACCTCCTCCGTAGTCTCAATTTCGACGGCTGACGAAGGTTGAGCAACCTCATCGCAAAGGCCTTCTGGAACGACCGCGACAGAGAATGAACACAGGCAATGTAGGGTCGTAAATGCGTACATACTATCGATCGTGGCCGGAGAAGGCACCTGAGGCAGCGAACGATGGACATGTCCACTGGATTCGACTTCATTCACTGCGGTGTGTTGATCGTGAGCTTCTGAAGGGACCCCAATGAGATAATGAGCAAGAAGTAAAAGCAAAAGGCATCAAAAGCTTGCCATGAGCCTGGTCAGATTCGCACGAATGCAAAGGCAATTGAGACGACAGTTTGATGGTCGAAGTGAGAGGATCAACGTCATCGCGAGGAGACACCGCTCCGACTATAGCGCAACAATTCAGCACACTGCAATGAGCTGTCTATATTATTACTGACCTTTACCGGATGCTGACACAACAGGGGGAGACGATAAACATTGTGACTGTGCATGAGACTTTCCTTCGACGATCGCAGCAGGGACAGAAACGTCCGAAGATTCTACGAAGTTGGAAAGGATGAGCACACCACATGCAATTTTAGAAATGACCAACAGACCATGAGCCATAGCAGGAGTCGGAGCAGACACTGAAGGCTTTAGATATGGATGCTCGCTGAATTGGACGTTGACAATCCTTGCGGATGTGACGATCTCATACTGTGGACGATGTAGAGGCCAGTGGGCTAGAAGCATCATGTGCTGAGAAAGAGACTCAGCATGCAGAGACACGCAGAGACACGGGAGTACTTACGATTATGAAACGAGGATGCCGGACCGTAGATCTCTTCGAGAGGAGGGGAGGGGGAGGTCCATCGGGGCGCAGTTTCACAGGCGGCGAGGGCAGACGAAAGATAGCGCTGACTAAAGATCCGGTAGCTGCAACTCAACGCTCAGCATGTCATTTTCTACTCAACTGGACACGGTCTACTTACAACCTAAGAAAGCTCGTGTAGGAACAGCAGATAAGATGGACGGAGTAGATTCAACGGAGTGGAGGATAAATTCACGAGCCGGGTGAGGAACGGAGATGATAGGAGGGCGAGTGAGAGACGGTGAAGGACTGGGCGCTCAGATGAGTAGGAGGCCAGCACATGTGCGGCGACGGGGGAGATACCGAGGTAGAAGTCTCCGCCTTTGGCGACGTGGGAACATGAGGGGGAACGGGAACAGAGACGGAAGTCGGGACACAAGGACCGTTCGGTGATGAGACAGGTAATGATGCATGGATTGACACAGAAGCTGAGACAGATACAGCTGCAGAGCTCGATGCAGTGCAAGTTTCAATGCAGAGACGCGCTTGAGAGAAGAACCGGTAAATGAGGTTGAGATGGTGCAGAAGCGGATACTGGAGGACCTGCGCACACAGGACAAGAAGACACAACACAAGTTGTTGCAGGTGTGGATGCAGGGGCTGGAGGACGGGTGCGGGTGGCAAATGGTGAAGGAGCAGCATGCAGTAGCTCGCCTCGGCAGAGGCTTGTCACATCCCGTGGCGTCGCCAAGGGAAGAATACGCGGCTGGTCAGCAGAGTTTGATCGGTCGGTAGCGAGCTCCATCTGCAAGTGATTATGGATGTCTGATCTGTGTTTTTCGCACTTGGCCTCTGATGACTTCGACTCAGTCATTAGTTTGTCGACCTGAGTCAGTAACTCCTCGGTCTTTGTCTTCCACCTTGCACACTCGTGATTGCTTTTCTCAAGAGCATCCCGAGCTTCATTGAATTTGCTTCGCAGCTCCCCTTGGCGCACGATGAGATCTGCGATCACGATTTCCAGTTCGTCAAACTTTGTATCCCAATCCTGATTATCCATAGAGATTGTAGGATCCTCTTCGAGGGTTGGACTGAATCGGCTGGAGGACTAGCAGAAGAGAACCTTCAGCTACACAGAGTGACGATAAATCTGAAGATGTACCTGTTCCGCTTGAGAGTGGACCCACACTGTCGAGACAGCACCAACTAGCACTGAGAAAAATATGACAGCACAAATACCATATGCGAGGTGAGCATTGGTAGTGCTCTCAGATACTGTTGATACTGTTGGGGAAGGATAAATTGTTGGAAGAGATGCAGGACTCGTCTTAAATGCAGAAACCAGCTGTCCATGCCACCTGTACACAGAGTATCCGATGTCGAACTTGAACACAGCTGGAAATGACCTGGCACACTCCCTCCGCCACGTATGATCAACATACCAAGCCCATCTCGCAGCATCAGCATCAAGGAAGGAGGTAAAACTCCAGAAATTAGGCGTGGGTGTTGCTCCCTAGATAGATGCATAGGCATGATAGATGAAAATTTGGGTGATGTTACTTACTGGTGGGAGGTTCGTCTGGATGGGCGGGGCAAGTTGAAGGCAAGTAGCAGTGAATGAAGCTTCCTGAGCAGCTCTCGAAGAAGCTTTCCAAGAAGCTTTCAGAGAAGTACCCAATACAGATACTACACTCCGTAATTCAAACAGTCCCAGGGCTGCATATGCAACCCCTGTCACCATTCCAATGCAGTCTTGTAAATATGCGAGACTCTGGTACGGAGCAAAATTAAGTGTGGGCCTTCAGATCATACACTATACATACCATCTTGTGGGAGGTCTAAGGAGATGTCTTGCAGTGTATGGAACAGACAGTGAGGTGAATGTGACCAATGAGTCAGAAGTCCAGAAGTCTGAGAAGATTGTCTTGTACGTAGGTAGGGGATGGAACAACTGAACACGTCAAGGCAACGCGTCAAGTCACGGTCACGTGCTTCACCCGGCCGCTGCACCGGGAATTAGCCTTGAACGACATCAGCAAAAAGGCCTTAGCCATATAGCGCCCACCCACCGCTATGTAGCGCTCATAGCCTCGGTAGCACCAGGTTCATGCTATGGAGGGCGCTGTACCTCTACATCATCTGCTTTGCATGCTATACACCGCTACATACCCTTAAGTGGCTGTCACTAATATGTTACTTACCCAACAAAGACACAATGTGGTGTCTACTGAGACTCGAGAGTCAACATGCCAGAAGAGCAAATAATGGATGTATTATTCATTTTTATATACGAGGTATCACGGGCCTGCCGCCTGTCTTCCATGTCGCAATTAATTCTAAGCTTGAAATGTGTTTTTGTAATAGTGCATTACAATGCGCCACAGCCATTGGCTAGATAGTCGCTGACTCTGTGGGAACACGCTTACGTATGCTTCGGCCATTCCCGTGGCACTTTAAAATTTCTGACTCTTCTCGCTCCTCGTTGTCGAGCTTCGTCGAGCCACAACATGCTCCTTAATATTGAATTTTCATAGCTCCAGCCCCCTCGATTGTTTATTCTCGTTCTCTCTTGCCTCTCGGATCTTTCTTGTTTTCCCTTCTCATCCTTCATCCACCCATTACAGTTTGCCTCAACTGCCAAAAAACTACACTGGTCTCGGTGAGCCTGCCTTCCGTTGTCTTGAAGCATGTTCTTCCTAATTCTACTCTACACAGCACGCAAGCGCATATTCTACTGTTTGCTACAGTCAATTTGCGCGATCTGAGGACCGGTCTCCAGAACAGCCAGTCCGAGAACGCCGCCGGTGTGCGTCCCTCCCGGTCGGCCCAACTTACAAGCAGCCCCTGGCCGAGGTCGTCGTTGCACTCGGTCGCCTTTCGATTCTCTGCATCTACAGACCCAGCTCCTTCTCTAACTTTACAATCGCTTTTCCGACCTTGCTTGCGACGAGTCTGCCACCGTCTTCTGCCTAGTAACCTCGTCCGGCGCAAGCAACAACATCTCATACGTGAGCTTCAGGTGTGACGGACCCGACGAAGGCAATCGCTCCTTGGCCACGATCGTCGACCACGTACTCCTGTATGGATTTTCAGGCATTGCACCAAGCGTGCTCTGCACGTGGGACTGGACGACATCGAACGGGAAGGTGACGACCCAACCCTCGCAATGCCCGCAAGCGCACTGGCGAGCAGCTGCGCGTACCGCGGAGTGGTCTCCTGCCACATAAGGCCTGGCCGGCGGGTCAGCTCGTCGATCACGGGCACCTTGCCAAGTTCAGCGAGCATGACACCGCGCACCGGGTGGCCATGCGGGAGGACGGCGGTGAGCGTGACTGTAATTCTGCGCGGTACAGATCATCTCATCTAGGATATCTTGCGTAAGCGAAGAGGATAATGACGCGATGAGCAGCTCTTTGTGCAGGCGCGTCAGTGCAAGGAGCGTATGGCAGGAGGGCGTGAGGCACGCGGAGATAAGGATGAGGAGCGTGTTAGTCGTGATGCGTTTGGCCTTCACAGGGTCTGCAGAAGTAGGGCATGATCAGAACGGCACAGGTAAGTAGCATGCGAGTGTGATACTTATCCAGCGCTTTCTGATCAACACGAATAGCGTCGGTGACAGCATTCGTGTTCGAAACGACAGGTTTGCGCTTGACACAACGACTATCAACAGTCAATGCCTTCGTGCGCAAACAGTCAGATCGTCTCCACCGTTGCTGCGGCGTCGTCTCGTGGAACACTATCCCCCCATCGTCACCGAGAATTTCTATGCGAAGATGTTTTGACATGCATTGTAAGTCATTATTCTTGTTGCACTTCGCAAGTCAAACTGATGTTGCATTAGTCATGCATTGGGTGCTCCGCAAGCTCTGGCGGTGACAGGCTTGTCAGACGCGTTTGCGCGAAGGCGCAAGTGGCCTTCGCGCAGTTGGAACCGGCAGCACACGCTGGTGAAATGAATAGTGACGCTTCAGACGCTAGTAGTCGGTAGACCATTTTGTTAATGATATGATATTTTGTCGAAGCAATGCATGTTTGGTTTAAAACCTCATCATATATTGAGACAAATAGTACTGTATAGATTGGAAGGTATCTACAGGGAGCTTTATTCACAATGTACCCTATCGGTCAACAGGGCCACGGTGCCTATGGTAGAGCAATATACTGATGCTAGGCTGCTATGGGGCGCTACGTGGGTGGCACAGGCAGCTACCGCGTCTACCGTAAAGGGTAACTTACCAATAGAGCTACCATAACTATGGAAGGTACATCGCGCAATGTAGCGTGAACTTTTTTTGCTGATGGACCGCCTTCAGTGTCACGCGCTTTGATCACACATCCAGCATGCATTCTTCTGTCCCATCTCACGAACAGATGGTGTTCTGCCCCATGTTCATCACAATGACGGGTACCGCAGAATGCAACTATGAGCAGTCCATGCTGTTGAGAAAGCCGAACCTCACGACCGAGGCTCGGGGACAAGCCGAGGTACCGAGGCCCTCACAAACGAGAGTCCAGACCAATGTGGCTGAGGGATTAGATAATATTTCCAAATGTGTACATGTATTTATAAAGAAATGCCATATCGGGAAGATCCGCATCATCCCGCATCCTCCTTCATCCCGGACGCTCACCCGCATTCCGTGTTCCTAATCTGAGGCTTAATAGGTTATGAGCCTCGGGCTTTCGGATTAACCTCGAACCTTATCAATCGACTACTCTGACATTATTACTTGGCAACATGGCTGAAGAGAAAGAGAGATCGTCGTACCCACGCATCGAGCCCCTAAAAGAAGACACTTGGATGCCCTGGAAGACCAAGATGGAGGCCATCCTCGACGATAAAGGGCTCTTGCCCTGGATTAAGGGCAAGAACAAGAAGCCCGAGATTCAAATCACCGGAGACCCCGAAGAGATCCAAGCACGCGAAGATGAGATCGAAGAATGGGAAAAGAAAGACCGTTCCGCGTGCACCATTATCACGATCAATCTCGGCAATGACCAGATTGTGAATGTGACAGGTGCGACATCTGCTCGAGACATGTGGAAGAAACTCCGCATGGTTAAGGAGCAATGCGAACAAAGCGGTATCGATTCTCTCATTCGACGTCTCTACCGTACATATGCGGGTGAAGGAGACGACATCGGGAAGCATATTAAGGAGTTATGCAAGATCCGAGAAGAACTACATGTCATGGGAAACGAGATTGACGACAAGCAATTTCATAATGTCATCATCACCTCGTTGCCCGATAGCTGGAAGACGTTCACGGACACCTATTTCGGATTCCGAGGTGAGCTCATCGATAGTGACAATGAGGAAACGGAGGAACAGAGGCGAGAGAGAGAGAGGAAGAGGAACATAACTGTGCAACAACTCATCGGGATAGTTCTCGATGAGTGGCGCCACCGCAAAGATCGCGATCTGAGCTCAGGAACGGATCAAGCAATGATAGCCGCTCGCGGGAAGAGGAAGCGTCCGTCGGAGCGCCCGAAGAATCCTGGAGCTAAAGCTGAGTCCTCAGACAACGTGATCGTCTGTTCTAACTGCGGCAAGCTGCGTCACACCAAAGCCGAATGCTTTGCTAAGGGAGGCGGAAAGGAAGGCCAGTGGCCGCAGTGATGGAAGAGACCTGACGAAAAGAGGCAGAAAAGAGTGGATCGCACCAACAAGGGTGAAGGATCCTCGAAGGGCAAAGAACGCGCATTTGTAGCGCATGATTCTAATGAAGATCAGAACACTGTATCCCTAGGTAATTCTGACGAAGATATTTCTTCCTTTTATTCGTGGATTGCCGATACAGCGACGACCTCACATGTCACAAACCGACACGAGATCTTCACATCGTATCAAGCGCTCGAGAATCATACCATCTCCGGATTAAATCCGGGGAGCTTAGCGGCAGTTGGCCGCGGCTCTGTAGATCTCGAAAGCACATTTGGAGATCGAAAAGTGCGATTCCGACTCAATAATGTGCTATATGCGCCGCAGGCACGCCACAACTTAATTTCGCTTGGGCGGCTGGATGCTGCAGGCGGTCGCATTGTTGCAGGAAATAAAAGAGCTATTCTCATTGATAAAAATGGGAAGACGTTGGCTACTGCCACACGTCAGGGCTATTTATATTTCACTGACAATGTGCGACCATTGTCTAAATCATCGAGCATCACCTATGCAATGCAGGAACATGCTCCGCATACATGGGCGGAGTGGCACCGTATTTATGGCCATATTGGGAAAGATGCGCTGAAGTGCCTTTATCGAGAATCACTCATTGATGGCTTCGCTGTCATTCCGAACTCCGATGATTTCACGTGCGAAGCGTGCATCCAGGCGAAGTTCTCTCGCAAGCCATACCCGAAGAGCGCTGATCATAGAAGTGAGATCCCCGGTGAATTAACACATACTGATGTGTGGGGACCTGCTCCGACGACCGCTCTACAAGGTTGGCGATACTACATTACTTTTACTAATGATGCCACACGTCGCAGTGTTGTCCTTTTTATGAAAACAAAGGACGAGACCTCTCAGAAGGTCAAAGAATATATGATGTACCTCGATCGCTGATTCGGTCATCAGCCGAGGATGATCTGAATGGACAATGGATGTGAGTACCTCAATTCAGACCTAACTGATTGGTGTCATTCTCAGGGAATTGAGACTGGCGCTACTGCACCATATTCTCCTCCCCAGAACGGCGTTGCGGAGCGTCTCAACCGCACATTGCTTTCTTTAGCACGTGCAATGTTGTTCGCCCATGCTCTACCTCGTTTCCTATGGGCTGAAGCAGTGCGCCATGCGGTTTATATTAAAAACTGTGCACCTACACGTGCGCTCAATGGCACCACTCTGGACGGTAAATGGAATGATAAAAAACCGAATATCACTCACCTTCGAGAATTCGGTTGCGTTATATGGGTTCTTGATGAAGAACTCAACTTATCTAAGCTTGCGCCGCGAGCCAGCAAACATATCTTTGTTGGTTACATGGACGGTCCCAAAGCAATTAGATATTATGACGCTAAAATGCGTCAAATTAAAATAACGCGTAATTATCATTTCTTACCTACACTAGAACCTGAGTTAACTGATTCCCCATTTGGAGAGTCGCATCCGCCTGCGAATACGCAGCACGCGGGGGAGTCCGAGAGTAATAGTGACACACAGATATTAGCATTAGGTGATGATCTGTCCTGAGACCTTGATCCGGCTCGAGGAAGCGATCAAAATTCTCGGAAGAGAAAAAGACGAGAATATGACGCACCTGTTGAGCCCAGAAGGACGAGCAGAAGAACCATTCGACAAGATTATCGATTGCTGAATGATCCGAGCGCCGATGATCCGTCCTCAGAAGATGACGACACACCGGAACCGGAAGAAGCTCGGAGTGTTGAAGCTCGGAGTGCCGGTGATCTTGATCCGAGCGTGAACGATGAATGCATTGCGGATCAAGCGTCGTTTGCAGAGCTTGTCTATATAGCCATGAACGCTCCCAGAAACATGAAAGCGAATGAGCCTAAGACACTAGCCGATGCAAAGCAATCTTCTGAATGGCTAAGCTGGGAGAAGGCTGTCCAAGCTGAACTTGAACAATTGCATAACATGGAAACATGGGATCTGGTAAATCTCCCTCCCGATTGCAAACCTATCAGAAACAGATGGGTCCTTGTCAAGAAGACAAACAAAGAAGGCGAAATAATTAAATATAAAGCACGTCTGGTAGCGAAAGGGTACTCTCAGATTCCTGGAATGGATTTTTCAGAGACCTTTGCGCCGGTTGTGCGTCTCGAAACGATTCGTGCAGTCCTAAGCTTGGCAGCAGTCCTCGATTGGGAAATCCAACAAATGGACGTCAAAGGAGCGTACCTGAATGGATCCCTTAAAGAGGAAATATATATGCGCCAACCCGAAGGATATAGCGACGGAACAAATCGAGTATGTCGCCTTAGAAAAACTTTGTATGGACTCAAACAAGCAGGTCGCGAGTGGAATATTGAATTAAATCAACGTTTATTAAACGTGAGTTTCAAACGTTTACTCGCAGATCCATGCGCATACATCCGAATCTGAGGGAATAAAATAGAAATTGTCACCGTTTGGGTAGACGATCTATTATTATTCACCAACGATCCGAGCGTTATGGGACTCCTTAAAAAGGAACTTCAAAATATGTTTGAAGTCACCGACTTAGGAGAACCTCATAAGATCATTGGTATTGAAATTACGAGAGATCGCGCTAAATGCACGATTAAAATCTCTCAATCTCAATACATACAGGCTTTATTATTCAAAAACGGATTAGCAAACGCTAATTCCGTTGGAATGCCTCTTGATCTGAACATAACGCTCAAGAAGGAAGAAGATAATGATGATAGCGTGCCTGATCGAAGCAACGCATATGCGTCATTAATCGGTTCCTTAATGTATGCCGCTGTAGCGACCCGTCCCAATATCGCATTTGCCGTGCAACGCCTCAGCTCGTTCACAGCAAACCCAGTGTTAGCGCATTGGACAGCTGCTAAACGCGTGCTCCGATATCTCGCAGAAATGCGCGATGCTGGAATAACTTATGGCCTTGAAAATCAGGCCGACACACGCGCTCAATCCGAGCATCGCGTGTATTT